CTGAAACAAGAAGTTTGGGTAAGATTCTAGAGGATGAGATAGCAGTTGGAAACGTGCAGACAAGGGAGGTAGAGAAAGAGGTGAGTAATGAGGAAGAGGAGGGAGGATGACCAAATGAAACTGATAAGGAGGACTTGGTTGCACAGTTTGTTGAGCAAATGGGCTGTAAAATAAAGGATCCAAATGAGTTGAAAGTATTTTTGAGGAAAGGAAGGGTAGAGAGAAAACCAAGGAAGAAGAAGTGCGAGTTAGAAAGGCTAAGGCGAGATGTAGAAGAAGATAAGGAGTTTAGTGAGAGAAAGGGTAGAAGAAGAGGGACCAATTCAAAAGATGACAGGTAAGGGTTCTTTTAGAAAATGGTGATGAAGATTCTCTGTTGGAATGATAAGGGGTTAGGGGGGCTAGGAAAAGGCATTTAATAAAAGAAGTAATAAGAATAAAGGATCCAGATTTGGTGTTGATTCAGGAGTCTAAGTTAATGGAGTTTGATGGGAGATGGGATAGATCAGTGTGGAAAGTAAGGGGCATCAATTGGGATTTTTGTCCTTTGTGGAGAAGGTTAGGAGGTTTAGTGACAATGTGGAAAGAAGAGGTTTTTTAAGGAGTGGAGAAGCTGATTGGAAAGTTGATTGTTTCTATCAAATTAAGACACAAGGTAGATGGATTTGAGTGGGTATCGACCAATGTGTATGGTCCAATTGGTTATAGAGAAAGAAGTGAACTTTGGGGGGAATTAGGAGACATTAGAGGGCTTTGGGAAGGCTTCCCGACTATTAGGGGAATTAGATAAGGGGACTCCCTCTCTCCATTTCTTTTCACCTTGATCACTAAAGTGTTGAGGAGGCTAATTGAAAAAGCAGATTCAAGAAGTCTTATGAGGGGATGAAGAGTTGGAAAAGACAACATTCCTATCACCCACTTACAGTTTGCTGATGATACAATTCTATTTTGTGAGAGGGAGGATGTGAGATGGGTCAAAATTTGAAATTGGTGATTCAAGTGTTTGAACAAATGTCAAATATGAAGGTGAACTTCGATAAGAGTTGTGTGGTGGGGATCAATATGGAAGAAAGAGCTATGTTGGAGAGGGATGAAGCTTTGGGTTGTACGATGTCTCAATGGCCGCTAAACTATTTAGGGATGCCCTTAGGGGATAACCCGAGGAAAGAGAGCTTTAGGAGCCCCGTAATTGATAGATTTGCTAAGAAACTAGCCCCTTGGAAGAAGAACTATTTATCTATGGGTTGTAGAATTACATTGATCAAGTCTACACTAGCTAGTTAATAAGAGATTTATTGTGGGAACCGAGGGAGGAGAGGAAGGATCACAGGGTGAATTGGGAACTAATCTCTAGGAGTAGGGCTGATGGAGGGTTAAGTTTAGGTAACATTCGGAGGAAAAAATGAAGCCTTGTTGGGGAAATGGCTGTGGAGGTTGGGAGATGAGAGGGATAAATTGTGGACAAGGGTAACTTTAAGTATTCACGGTCAGGCAGATGATGGCTAGGACACTAGGACTTTGGCAAGGTCTGCTGGTGCCTCTCCTTTGAAATCTATACATGTCATTCTTCCTTCCTTTTTGTAGCACATCAGGTATGACCTCTGCTTTGGGAATCAGGTAAAGTTTTGGGAGCACATTTGAGTGGGTAAGATACCTTTGAAAGACCAATTCCCTTCCTTGTTTTCACTCTCCCGATTTAAGGGCAAGGTTGTGTCCAGTTTTCTAGTTCCTTCCTAGTCTAATTTTGGGTTTGATTGGGATCTGGGGCTTAGAAAAGACTTAAGGGATGTAGAGGTTGAAAATGCCATGAGTTTGGTTCAGATCTTAGACCGGGTGGTGTTGAATCCCTTTGAGAGGGATAAGAGACTGTGGACCCTAACTTCCTTTGGAACATTTTCTTGTGCCTCTTTCTTTAAGTCCCTACTGCCTTCATCCAGTCCATTTGCACAAAACTTTCCAGTTAAGGATGTTTGGGGTGAGCCGATTCCTCCAAGGATTGGAGCCTTTTGTTGGGAAGCCTTCCTTGGAAGATGTAATACATGTGACGTACTCCAAAGAAAAAGGTCTTTTTGGTGCTTGTCTCTGAATTGGTGCATTCTTTGCAAGGCTAATGGTAAAAGCTCCTACCACTTATTAGTTTGTTGCCCTTTTGCTATTGATCTTTGGGAATGGTTTATTTCCTCTTTTGGTTGTAGGTGGATCCCACCACCAAACATTCAAAGTTTGATTAGCCCCTCATTCTTTGGTTGGCCAAACAAAAGGGGAAGGATAATGTGGAGATGTATGAGGGCTATTGTTTGTTGGACTCTTTGGGAGGAAAGGAACACCAGAATTTTCTTTGAAATTGAAAGAAGTAAAGAATGCCTTATTGAAGTAGTAACAGTGAGGGTGGTACATTGGCTAAAATCCTTGGACCTGTTTGTTGATATCTCTACGAATATGTTTGTCTTGTGTGGTCACCACTAGGAAGTGGACTTATAAAACTAAACTTCGATGGAAGTAGTGAAGGAAATCCAGGTCCATCAGGTATAGGAAGGGTTTTCAGAGATGAGGATGGGAAGGTGCTCGTTATGTATTCAAGTTCCATTGGGTTTGGAGACTCTCTCAAAGCTGAGGTCTATGTAGTATTGGAGGGTATAAGGAAGTCTAAGGAATTGAATATACAAAAGTTAGTCGTTGAAGGGGACTCAAAGTTGGTCTTAAGTTGGTTACAAGAAGGTAGTAGACTTTGGAAATATGCTAATGAGAGGAGGGAGATTAAATGGCTAACTAGAGGACTAGAAATCAAGTTTCAATGGGTCAAGAGAACAGCAAATGCATTTGCTGATGCTTTGGCAAAGCAGGGGGTGGGAAGGGATCAAATGTTTTGGGCTGTTTTGTAATTTTTTTTTGTTATCTTCTCGGAAAGAGTTAAACATGTTTATCTTTCTTTGGAGCGTTGTAACTAAATTCTTTTAATCTAATGAATTCCAGTTATTGATCAAAAAAAAAAATTGATGCCAATGCACGGGCATGTATGGGTGCATAGAGTGTGGGTTTTTGACCTTTTAAATGTTTATAGATTTGTAGGGGAATTCGGAAATCTGCATTAGGCCTGTCCATACTTTTCCGTTAATTTAAATGCTCATAAATACAATCACTTTGTGAGAATATCTAAAAAAAGGTGGCAAAGACCAGATAACAAGGTGTGAAATAGTAAGGGCATGGTTGGCCACAACAAGAGCTACTTTGTTATCCAACCTATCGACCCAATTAGGGGCGGAGCCAAGATTTTTTGTTGAAGGGGCCAAAAAGTAATAAACATTGATTGGGGGTAAAAGTTAATATTCAGGCGTAGATGGGCTAAAAAAACAAGTGGGTTGTAAATAGAAATTGTTGAGATTTTAAAGTCATAGGGAACCAATCAAGGGGTGACTCATTGGTATGTTAATTGGTTCATTTCAACATTGGCGCATAATCAATTCTTGCAACCATCGGTTTAGGGAAAGGGATGGGGTTTAGTGGTGTGTGACACCAAATACCAAAAAAAAGTCATAGGGGGGCTATGGGCCCATGACCCCCCCTACCACCCCTGGCTCCACCCTTGGACCCAACTGACTGAACATTAAGGGATTCTAGCCACTAAAAACAAATTAGAAGTTAGAACCACTCTTAACGTTTTTGGATGTATGTGGAGATGTTTCATTTGAATTAGAAAACTAATTAGAAGTGACTCCGACAGTACTTTCACTTTCTTTTATATGAATTATGGAACTGTCTAGTGAACATAGTTAACCATCCCCACCTTTTCAGCGTTTTCAAAACAAATCCCTATTTTTTTTTGAGTGGGAGCATCCACTTTTGAGGTGCTCTCTCTTGAAAAAAAATAGTATGCCACTTATATGAAATAAAAACTCTCAACTCTGAGGGTTTTCCTAAATTAGAATACAGCATTGGATACAACCATCAACCAAGGTTTTAAAAGGTTAAAGGTGGAGGCGAGGCGGTTGTGTGCTCAAGAGGCAAGGCGTAAGCCTCGAGGCGGTTTGAGGCATAAATCTCAAATTAAAACTTAAAAATTATGAAAAAATAAATAATTAAAAGTTTATACAATTGTTTGTGACTTAATGTATGGTTCAACAATTGCTAATTGTTCAAATCAAGTTGAACATGCCAAAATTTGTATAAAAAATAATCCAAGGATAAATCAACAAAAAAAGAAAACATTCAAATGAGAGTAACAAATTTGTAGTCAAATTAATAAATAACAATATCATATTCATTGTATGCAACATGTATCATCACAACACTTATTATGTTCATTGAAATAACAAATTAATATTGATCCAGATTCAATATATTTCTAGAATGCATTTCAGTTCAGGAAATACTGAAATGCATTTTAATATTGAACTACGCATTACGCACGGTTCAAGGAGGAGGACGTGTACTCTATACGCACGATTCGATTTGTCTTCCTCCCTCCAATATTCTTGATCTTGAATCTTGAATTCGGTCTGTGAGAAGTGAGAACTGATAAGTCTTCTTGAAATGAGTTCGGCTGAACAAAAAAGGGGAATAGCAGTTTTGGTCGATGGAAACCTACATTTTTTGGGGCTCACTTTTTCTTTTAATTTTTTCCAAAATTACCCATCATGAAATCAAGTTTTCCCCACCCAAAACCCTTTTAACTTGAGGCTACCGCCTCATGTAAATTGAGGCGAAAGGCCAAAGGCCTATGCCTCACTAAAATTGAGGCTTACGCCCCTTGAGTTGAAATTAATGCTACCAAGGCCAGGCGAAATTTGGCCGCCTCGCCTTGAGGCGTGCACCTCTCGCCTCACCTCAGCCGCCTTTTAAAACCATGCCACTAACATAGATTTTTGGACTATAGAAAGACATGATATGGGAAAAACTTATAACCAATATGTCCATATTACAACCCATAGAAATAAGCAGCAAGAAAAGCCGAAATAAATTGACCAGTTCTAAACATGTGAAAAATATAAAATTATCTTAAATAAGAGAAACCTGTTATTTGTCCATATTCATTTCAAATACGTTTTATACATACATCACATGCTATTCCATTCCCATTCACATTGAATGTGCAAACAATTTATAATAGAATCTAATATATTTCAAATATAAACCATGCATCTATGTTTTGAAACTATTACAAAATGCTGAATTATTTCAAAACATATAAAACCACAAATAAAATGTCAATCCAAAATGTCTTCATCCATTCATATATTTCTGCTCTTTATGTGTGTATTCAACCTATGAAAAAAAGGTAAAAAATTAGAATTGATATTTATACACATTAAGATACATTTGAAAAACTAATTAAAAACTGATAATACATACAAGCCTCACCCTGAACTCTTCTTCCACATTTGTAGTTCCAATCGCATCAACTTCTTCAGCAATTCCTATCTCACATAAAAGATGACATGAAAACACAAAAGACCAGTCTTTTCCACCAATTCTCACAAAGGAGGCAAGAATACCTCGTGCCATGGAATAGAATAACCCCTAAAACCTTCATTAAATGTATCAGTTAATGACATTTGGATTTTTCTTTCCCTCTCTCTTAATCAGCTGATCAATTGGCTAGACCACACCTGGTACAAATAGAACTTAATCTCACAGCAAAGCACATTAGTGCACCATCCAATCCCTCAACTCAGCCACCGTCATGTTGCATATAAGCCCCAGACAAAGAATGAAAAAATTAAAAGGTTGTTCCATAAAAATTACCTAACATAATCAACGAGCCTTGTCAGAAGATACTACCGAGGGCAGTGCTTCCTGATCTAAAAGCATCAGTAGTGCCATTGTTAGTTTTGCTCACAACCCCCTTACCAAAATACTCAGCAATCACAGAAAACCCATCCTTTGAATTCTTAACTTGTTGAAAGAACCGATCTTGGTCCTTGGCATTCTGCTCTAAGCTTCTCTTCACCTCCAGGACAGATCTGTACTCAGGAGCACACTCAGGGCATTCTTTCTCATTATCTCCGAGGCAACGCTGGTGAAATGAATGCATACACATGAAGTGCACAGCAGGGAGATCAAGGGTAAAAGTGCATGCAGTGCACTTACTAAGCTGGAAAATCCTTGCATTAGTCCTAAGATCCTGGATTTCTTTCCTCATCACTAAGGTTTCTTCCTGCACAGAAAATGTTTCACTGGAAACATCAATTTTGAGTCTTTGTATCAACTCTGTTGATCAATAATACAACCATTAAACATATCTAGGAATATTTATTTGGATACTAGATCAATTGTCAATTTCCATTTATCAACTCTGTTGACCAATAATTACAACCATTAAACAGATCTAGGAATACTCATTTGGATACTAGATCAATTGTCAATTTCCATTTGCATCTTTTCCTTTTTTTCATAACAAATTACACCAAGGATTTGTTGTTAACCTAAACTGAAGAACTGGATTAAGATCAAAGGCTGACAATAAGCATTCAGTAGCCTGAATTAGAGATTTTTTTCCTTAAATAAGATGAAGAAAATAACAAAAAAGCAAAGAGCATGAGCTTCAGACTTGAAAGACAAGAAAAATCTATTTTGCCTTTGTTATTGGTTATGGGGCCATTTCTTGGTGCAATGGTAAAACCTCAGGCTAGCAAGCATGAGAACCTGGATTCAAGTCTGAGAATGGCCACTTGATGCTAAAAATGTTGGATGTAAGGTCTGTATCCAGTCAACCATTCCCAAGATCATGGATAGCCAGGACCAGCACTGAGTAGTTCTGTTATCGGTTATCCACCAGCTGATGTATAAACATTTGTTTTTCTTGTACAAAAGAGAGCTGCATTGACCAGTTGAAAAAAACTCAAATACCACATTCAAACTTGGTCAAAGGGCATGGTAAAGCACCCCATCTCAGTGAAGACAGTAATGAACTACTTGGTTGCAGAGCTAACCTTATAAGAATATAGGGGCTTTTAGTTATGGTTTTTTCAGGCCAAATAAGTGAAAGAGATTGATTCCCTAGGAGCCAAGAGTTTTGCCCTTATTCAAGGGCTAAGAATGAACTGTCTATCAGGAGGAAGCAACTTCAGATAAAATTTTCTCAAGTTTTAGTTGGCTGGATTCCATTTCAATGTGACCATGGTATATGTGCCATTTTATTAGATAATTAACAGCTAGTTCAGATTTAACCCATGATCAGCTAACTCCATTGCAGATAAGCTTAGTTTGAGAGGGTGTATCCAGATATTTGTTCTATGAGGTCTTTTCTATGGGTTGATATTATTTGATGCATTGCCTTTATTATACCATTTCTGGCGTCCTTATCCAAGGTTTTTTGGGTTTTAGGAGTTACCACTCTTTTTTCACTCTATCATTAATGTACTTTAAACTAGACCTATGCCAAGTCACTGACATAAGATATATAGAGAGAAAAATGTGTAAGAATGTACTATTCCAAGGATTTCAGAGTAAAAAGTATATTGGCATGGACAGTGTACAAAAATAAAACTAATAGTTATGAAATGCTAGCATAATTGCAAACAAGCCTTTTATGTTAGTACGTGTAATACACCGATATAAGCCCATCTGAGCCTAGCAATGAAATAGTAATCATGGTACTGTGAGTCCACCTCGAATTGATTTGTGATTGCAACTGAATACTCCCTTGAGATGTTCTTGGATTGATGGAATTTGGGGTTGAAAAAGAATTGGTCACCTGTGATTCACACAATTTTCCATATTCCTCTACTTGAAACTACTTTTATGTGGAACATAATTCAGAAACTAGAAGATTTTAAGCCTTCAAGTTCAGCATGTTTAGAGATTTATTTTGGGGGAAGGGGGCATTTCAAGTCCCAAGAACTGAGGCAGAATGGAACTCATTTTCAGTTCCACCTTATTGGCCAAACACAGCTTTCAGGCTATATTGAAAAAAAAAATCCCAAGTTTCATTGCATGGAAGATGCCAGTCTAATAAACAGGAGTAAAGTGTGTCCAATAGCTGCATGGGCACAAACCTGGTACTTCTCAATAGATTGGCGGTCTTCTTCAATCAGTTTTGATTCTTCTTCAAGTTTTCTAGCAATGTAATCCTTGACAACAGAGAGAGTAAGGCATGGATTCCTGGACAGTGTCTGAAGAACAACAATAGGAGGTAATATGTCATCCCTTTCAATATAAGTCAAAACTTCCTTTACTCCTTTGGAGCAATCTTCTCCAAGATCACCAAAGTATTTCAGTAGATCACCCCAAAGAGATGGATCACCTCCTTTACTTGAATCCCCCAGCCTCTTGCAGCACGAAATCAACCCTTCATGGTCATGGGCTTGCATGTAGCAAGCAATCACTTCTTTATAGAGCTTCATCTTCTCATACAGAAATAATAACCCTTCTTTAAATGCATTCATCTCACAAAAAATGATAGCAAGATCAACATCATACAGTGGATGTTCCAGGTCAGATGGCCATGCATTCTTAAGCAAGCGCAGTCCCTTGTCAAGTCTTCCCAGGCAATCCTTTTCCTTCTCAATACCTTTCCCCCTAGCAATTGATCTTTCCTTTGAATCGTCTATAGGCATCTTAGCAGCTCCCTTTGAGCTTGTTGCTCTAGAATCAAAAACAGTGTTTTCTTGTAAGACAGATGTGAAATTCAAGTCATTAGACAGGTAGAGCTCCAATAGTGTGTTGTGAATTTCTATTTGAGCAGGTGAATCCTTCACCTTGTTGGTGTATTTCTCGAGAAAATCCATAAGAGACTGTGGGTGGTGAGTGAAAATGTTGATGAAATCAACAGGAGAAGGTAACAAAGATATGTATGGACTATTTGGCTTCCCCCTTTTTGCTGATTCTGCTTCCTCAGTACACAGCTTCATGAGTATTTCAATTGTCTCCATGGGCCTGTGCTCAATGAGAATCTTTCCATACTCTTTCACTGTGGCACCTGATTGACTGGGTTCAAGACTGGAAATGTATTCTAGTGCTTCTTGATATTGACCAAGATCTTCGAGCAAGATCTTCAAGTATAATTCATGCTTTCCTGCCTTCTTAGCAACATACATGGCATGTTCATGATACCCTGCAGCACGGCATACCCTTATTGCAGTCTCCACGTCAAACTTATGCTCTCCAACACTGTCTTCACTTTTGATAAACATATTCAATTTCTCAACATCTTTCAGCTTAGTATAACAGTTAAGAAGGAGAGTGGTGTGATCCTTAGAAGCCAGTCCCTTCTCATGTAACTTTTCCAGGTAATTTGTAAGGTTGTAGATTCTTTGTGCATCAAGAAATTTCTGTATCACATAAGAAGGTTCAAGGTGGCCAATAGTGTGTATATACTGAGCCATAGCCTCATCATAGTCTTGTTTCCCATATAAATGATCCCCATACTTCCTTAGCACTTCAGCAGTTGCTGCTGCATCAGCTTGCTGGCTTTGAACAAGATTGATAGCAACAGTATACAGATTCTTCCTGAAAAGCATATCTAACTTGCTTTCCATGTCCTTCTCTCCTATGCACAAAGTCGTTTTGTCACTCATTATAAGGATTATGTTACCCCATTCACAAAGCAAGTATGAAACTTCTCTAACCATCAAACTGTGGGCAATCAGACGATTCTTCAAGTCATATACATTAAAAGTATTTCTTCCATTTCTTTGATCTGTAATAACACATAAGAGGTACCTACGGAACCATCCAAGGAATTTCTTCTCCCCCTCAAATGCCCAACAAGGACCACGGCCATCAACTTCATAGAAGTAAATAGCCTCTGGACGCCCAATTATTAGCTCCTGGTTATTTGACAAGGACAAACTTCTCAATTGCATGAAAATAATATATGATACTTGAGGAAGCTATGACACAACAAAGCTAATCTACAAGAAGCAACCAAAACTGCATACCGAGCGATCACTCATCGTGACACTATTAGCGCTACACCCAATCTGATCAAGGGTTTGCCTCCTAGGTGGTTGATCCTGCAAGCTGAACAAGCTCACTGAATTGGGTGTCACAGCAAAGAGTTGAAGGGCTTGACCATCAACTCGGAACCCTAGGCCCATAATAGAAGAAAGGCTCTTATCTGAAATATTCTCCACTTGAAGCTTGAAGCGGGTAATGCGCTCACGTGCAATGTCCCCCTTAATGCAGTAAACAAAACCATTGTCTAGCCCTATGGAGATAAGCAATATAGGTGGAGATTCCTCAAGGACTAAGAATGATGTAATCTGCAGAAAATCAGGTACAAGGTCTTATACTCAACAAAAATCAGAGATTTCACCCATAATAATACAAAATTAAGGCACACATCTGCCTATCTACAAATATATTGAATAACTCTGAAGTGATAACAGATAAAAGAAGCTATACTGTGCACCTTTGCTTCAGGAAACTGGTTGGTGAATATCCGCAATATTTGAATGCAAACAGGAGTTGATGTGCTGGAACCCTCTGGTTGCATCTTGTCAAGGTCAAAAACCTTAAGGCAGATAGATGACAACTGTGGTGATGTTTGTTCATCTTCTCCAATAGTCAGCAGGAAGTTGCGTTGCTAATTTAAGCATTAATAAGAAACTTGTTAAATTTTAATATAAGATAGGTAAGAAAAGCAGTTATAAGCCAATCAAGTTTAAAGCTGTCATCATCTATGAGATAAGAAATTGCATTGGTAATTCACTAAATTTGTGCAAAAAAATCTTGTTTCTAATCTATGCAACCAAGTCATTCGGTTGATAGTTTATGGACCTCATTTAGGAGTTAGGACGAGGTTATAGGTGGATACAATGGTTACAAATAACTTGATATAATTCCCTAGGCAAGTCATAGGTCACATCACATGTAAGTGTAAACCCATTTACCACAGGTGACATGCTTTTGGTGTATGAAAAAATTTAGCTTGGACATCAGGGAAGAAAAGTTATCCTTAGATGATTAGCATGCCATGCCAAACACGAGATTATCTTGGCTCAGATTGAAGCCTGAAGATAGCTTCTGACTTAAGAACTAGGATTCTGATACAAAATACTGTATCAAGTTAAACATATCTCAATTTGGAGCAGCAATGAATTCCAGAAGTCCTTATATATACAAGATGTTTTATGGTTTCATATAAAAATACAAGGCTACAAGCACCATAATGTTCATTGAAACTTACATCACTTTGTCATGTTTCCTCTTCAATTTGTCCTCATTTTCCCTTTTTTGTTTAATTATTCAAGATGCATCTTCCACTTGGACTTTTCAAAACAGATGTTACCAGCGTCAAGAAAATCTGAAGCAACTTGTTGCAATGCATAAATGGCCAAGTCTAACAAAAAAATAACTCTACAAGGGTTACCACAACTTAACAACATTAATATTTAGTCAGTTAAAAGAGTGTACATAAACAATTCCCAAAAGGTGCCCATAGAAAAGATAAAGAGCATAGGTGAAAAAAAAAAGCAGAACAGTCAACAGTTTTATTTCCAGAAAACAAAAACTTCATTATTTCAAAATGAAATTACAGAGATTAGAGATTACTTTCCTTTCTGGATGATATAAAAAAAAAAAATTCTCACCATTCGGGACTTCAGGAGGTGTAATCATGAACAACCACCTTAGAAAGAACAGTTAAAAAAAGATATCCGTGGCAAGAAGGTATGCAAGATGTAAGAAGAAATGTCTGGATTGGTTTTCACTCCACTAGTGCTTCTGTAGTATCTACTCCACAAGTATTTCAGTAACACATGGGCATGATATTTTTCATCAGTTTTTATGCAGATGGCAGCATCAAAAGGGGTTCTCTATGTTTAAAGCATACCATAGTCATGAAGCTAAGAGAAGGAACCATTAAAAAAAATAAGAATAAGAACCTAGCTATGTCCGTATCATTTGACAAAAGGCATGACTCTTCAATAGAGTGTGAAGGCATGACAGGATTCGTCTAGCCCCCCGGGCATGCATAGTTTTCAAGGTCCCAAGGTGAGGCTAGGAGAAAGGGGGAGGAGGTGCCTTGTTGCCTAAGATAAAAATCCTAAATCCTAAATCCCAAGATAATTCCCTAGGTTCATTAGCAATCAGTAATCATCTTGTACTAGTAATAATCAATGACCTTCATCAAATAAGCATAAACTTCAGATCAAAATATAGAAGATCAACATATTTATGAGAATCAAAAGAAAAAAGAAAAGAAAATTCCGAAATTATAGGGGCTGAACCCCTGTTTTTGTTTAAGCAAAGAAGAAAAAAAAGGTGGAAGAACAAGAAGAATGTTTTAATTGGATAAAATTTGAAGTTCTTCCCTGCTTATCAATTCAGGCTTTGAAGTCTACAAGGATTCAAGACAACACACACCATGTGTATTGGTTGAACCTTAACAGTTAACACTTAAGAAAATACTAAAAAGAAACTAGAAAATAAACCAACAAAATGAATAATTTATTGTTGATAATGTTTATTTTATTCTTAGAATATCAGGAAATAAATATATATATATATATAGTGCCTTGTTCAAGGCAATTCTCCGTGGGTGCTTATCACCTAGGACGCATAGGCGCCACCTTGACAACTATGCACATATAGTTGGGATTAAGGCTTGGTTTTCGTTAACTGAGCAGTCATTCCCTTTAACACAATAGAATTGAGGAATTTTCAACTTGTTGGCTAATCTAGCCCATCCGCAAATACCAGTAAAGGGAGCAATTTAAGATGGATAAATAAAGAACTAAACAAAACCAAAAGCTCATTGTCACCGTTTTTGGAAGGCCACTCAACTCTGTAACTTGATTAGTTACTTCAATCAATCTATACAGAATACAACATACAATTTTCTTATTATATTCTTTGAATCTAATGTGTACTAAATCTAGAATAGACGAAACCATTTCTATGGGCAAGTCAAGTAGTCAGGGCAGGGGCGGTAGGGAGGAACTCAAGTGCCACTCTTTAGAATGCAAACATCCTTCTTTTCTTCTTTCTTTCCTTTTTTTTTCTTCTTTTTTTGAAGAAATTTAAAATCGGCATCAATAAGAAACAGGAAAGAGGCGAATAAAGAGAATCAAAAAGAAGAAAAAAAGGGGAAAAACGAAGAAACCCATACTACCTTTAGCTGCTGAATGAAGAGCACAGAAGATGCGTGAGCTTGGAAACCATAAATGAATTTGAACCCACGATCCAGCAAATTCACCAAGCCGTCATCGCAACCGACCACGATCTTCCCTCTCCCACTCGAACAGCACTGAATCTTTCCGGTGACTTCGTCGGGAATTGAACTTTTCCCGGCAGATTTTTCTTCAAAGAACTCGAATTTCCTCCACTGATACATCTCTATGGCACCAAAACCAGGTTAGAGCGAGAACTGAAATCTCGTTGACAAAAGTACACTTGAGGCAAGGATTCTCTCTCTCTCAGACACTTTTTCTGAGACCGCTGGCAATGCAGACTATAAAATTCTGATCTGGGCTGATTGGTCATTCTCCCTTTTTTTTTCCTCCGAGATTTTCATTTCTCACACTGTCTCCAAGGAGAGAGGAAATAGCTGAGCGCCTAAACCTCGGCGTTGATCATAGCCGGGCCGGGCCTAATAAGGATGCAGCTTTGGGCGGCCCCAACCCGAATTCATACAGACCCAGCCTGCAATTTTACACTGTGTAGGGTTGAATTTTCAGTCATCGGATTGGGTCTTGGGCCCAAGACTTAGGTCTTCTTTTTTTTTTGGATGGGCCCAGCCTAACCCTTAGGTAGTTCAAACTCATTCCGAGACTGATCCACCTTATTCCAATCCGAGCCCAATCTAACCTCAGTTAAACCATTCAAGTTGATATACATACATATTATAGATGTGTATTTGTATATGCATGCATATAGTATATGTATATATGTACATTAGTTTTAGAGTGGATTTATTGACCAACCCGAATTTAGCCTAGACGCAAGTCTAACCCAAATACATCGAATTTCTATGCAGACTAGGCCTGGGTTGGGAAGATCAAGCTTAACCTCAGGTTCACTTGAATTCGGGATTTAGGCCCAAATCTTAGTGTTGGGCCTAGATTGACCATAAACCCGAACCAGCCCGCATGACTTGCACCCCTATGCCCAAACCCAATAAATAACTGGAATCAAACTTAGCCCGAATTGAAGGTCAACCTAGGCTCAACCCTAAAGGTTCAAACCTCGGGCTTGGGCCTGGCCCAACCTGAGCTTAGCCCAACACAACTTGGGCTGGGCTCGGACTCAACATGGGCCAGGTTGGGCTAGTCGGGCTTGGGCAAATTGGTCAGATACAAAAGAAATTATGTATATATTGTTACACAATCATCTTTTATTGGGATTTATGGCCCAATTTAAAAATGCACATATACATACTTTATGCATATTAACATATAAACTTAATTAGAAAAAAATGATATTTTTATATAAATATAATATCACATATATTTTTTCAGATAGGATCAGATTGGGTTAGGCCTCAACCCAACTTTAAGTCGGACCCAAAATTTCTGGCCCAAAGCCAATCCACAACCCCAAAACTCAAGCCAAAATTATACAAAAATTCGGATTGAAACGGCTTGGGCTTGGGTTGGACCCACCTGCCCAAGCTGCACCCACAATATCCCCCGTGTAACGTCATATGAGCTAAATAGCTAATTTCTCTTTGTCAGCATGCAATTCGCTGGTTTTGCAATTGAAGTATGGATCCCTTTGTTGGTTCTCTCTTCTCCCTCGCTTTAGTATTGATCCCACATTCTCATTTTCATAGCTTCATCGCCACACGTTTGTCACTTGTGAATCTGCCAATTAAGTACTTTGACGTGTAGCCTTCTTCACTTTTTACGATCACATGGTAGGTGTGAAGCATGGGCGTCATATCATGCCACATCATAAATTTAATTTTTGGGAAAGCTTATGCTGTTTGGTATTTAAGCTGCATTTGTTTGCGGTGTAAATACAAAATTACATTAATAAAGTTTTACAACAGTCAGAGTCAGATTTCAAAGTGTAAAAAGCAAACCGGCTTTGTATTCCTTTTATACTCTTGTGTGTAAAAGGTAGCATCGCTCAAGTCTTCAATTGAGATAAATGCTTTCATTTTCATCATAGAACAAGAACTCCTATTTTTCAATGATGAATCGGTGTTAAATATTTGCAAGAAATTAAAAGGGCAAACGTGAGAAAGAACAAGAGCTACGTAGGATTTCTAGACGAAATTTGGTAACAGGAAAACCCATGGTAAATCAATTTGGGATCGAAATCTGGCTCTGGGATTGAAATATGCTGCACATGTGACAAGAGCTTTGTAGGATTTAGGCTTATAGACTAAGACACTGGTTTTGAGATCGAAATCTGGAGGTTCTTTGCCTATACTCCAAACCATGTAGCTGCAGAAGCTTCTCTCTTGTCCAAGACATGTCTAGGTTTTCACTGCCGATCGACTGATTCCATAAGCAATGGCATCGATCAAGGAAGAGAGATATTACTGGGAGAACTACCTTTTACACCGATGGAGAGACGAGAAGAGGTTTTTACATTAATTTTTTTTATGTATTTTTTACATCGATTCTTGACGTAAAAATCTATCGAAAAGCTTGTTTACATCAATATTTGCTTTTATTTTATACTCCAACTAAACAGCGGTAAAACTAAACCAGAGTGTAAAATTATATTGAATCGGATTTTACACTGCTTCTAAATACAGAGTTTTTTTTCCCGGACCATGTCTTAAAAATTGAGAAAGGTGTAGTTTGAAAAAAATTAACATAACTTTAAAAAATGCAAAACAACATGTTTATACAGCACCATTTTTTGAAAAAAAATGCCGCTATGATTTTCTGCTTGAAAATTTATATTTTTATTTTTTTAAAAGAAAAAAATCAAGAAACTTGTGTGTATTGCTTATGCTCCTTTATTAGTGGGATCACCTTCCAACAAAACATGTTCCATGAGGCTTGGAAAATTCCTCCATTATCAATATTAGATATTTCCCATGGATTGGGTTTTGTTGCACGGACCAACCCATTAGGAGTGTTAGCACATTCTATCACACTTAGTATCATTATCTCCTTAATCTTAGGAGAGATAATTCATATCTAATTAGTTGTACTAGCTGTACATATCCTTTTTGTATTCTAATATCCCTAACTCTATTATAAATAGGTTGTAACCTATTGAATTTAACATCAAGAGAAATTATTATCTTCTCCATCCATCTTTCTTGTTTTTGTATCATCCTGTTCTTCTATCATGGTATCAGAGCCGTCTCCATCGCCAATATGAACGTAGGCCTCCCGCTCGTCGACATCATGATCCAAGTCTTGGATCAGTAAGGAACAGAGTCCAGATCTTCAATATCTTCTACTCTTCCTCCGGCTGCAGCTTTCTTCGCTGCCTTCTCTTGCAGCGCCTTCGCATCCGGTGGCTTGAATTCAACTTCTCGTACTTCACGCCAAGATAAGCCTTCGAGAGTTTCCGATGGCCTGATTTCAATTTCACCATCGTGGATGATGTGCTGTGGACCTTCGTCACGGTCTTCGAGTCCTTGACCTTGGCTGCGATGTTGTGTTTCTTCTCACCATCGTGGATGATGTGCTGTGGACCTTCGTCACCGTCTTCGAGTCCTTGACCTTGACTGCGATGTTGTGTTTCTTCTTCGTCTTTTGTGGCTGTACTCTCTGATTGCCGTATCTCTCATCTACAACTTTGCTGGAATATTGAAATTTCAGGCGACTGTTGGAATTGTTTTTCTCGACGACCTCGCTAGAGTTATCGACGTCAGTGACACTACTATGAGATTAAGGATCAGGAGACCATTTTTCTCGATGACCTCTCTAGAGTTATCAACGTCGGTGACGCTACTGTGAGATTAAGGATTGGCAGTTGAGAACGCTGATAAGTTGGTCTTTTTTTTTTAGAGGTGCTTCCGTCCTCAGCCCCGCTGTTCTAGAGATCGAGAGTTGCAGTATTCCCCTGCGCCATTAGTGAGAGAGAGAGAGAGAGAGAGAGCAAGCGTACGGGAGAACGAGGAGGAAGGGAGGGAGCAGATGAGCCAGACATAGTCGTACGGATCCTTCACCTTCCCGACTCGTCCACCGCAACAAGAGCCCTCGCCCTCTATGATCTCACCCTCGAGCGTCGCGCCAACGCTGACGGCACTGACGGCCTTCTTAAGGTCAGTATTAAGATTTTCCCGTGATTCGTGTTGCTCCAAAGATCTGTGCTTCTCCTCATGGATTCATCTGAAGCTGCTCAACATATCTCTCATCCCATCACTGTTACCTTCGATGGCTCGAATTATGATTTATGGTCCCAAGAGATGTGCAGTTTTCTCAATGGCCGCCTTCTATGGCGATATGTGACTGGTGAGATTCCCAAACCTACTAAAATTGCTGATGAAACAGAAGATAAATTTGTTGAACGAGTAGAAAAATGGGACGGGAAAAATCATCAAATATTGACTTGGTTTCGCAATACTGTATTGCAAGCATCAAGTTGGAATTTCGCAGATATGACTCTCCTAAAGAGGTATGGGATTTCTTACAAGTTCGTTATTCTATTTCTGATGATGTGCATCAGTTTCAGCTCTATAGGCGTCTTCGTCGTATGAAGCAGCAACCTGAACAGACCATTCACAGTTATGTCTCTGAATTACAAGTTCTTTGGGATTAGTTAGCACAGTGTGAACCTGAATGGGATAGTACCTCTGCAGCTACTACTTATTCCAAGCTTCGCGATCGCCAATGTGTTTGGCATCTCCTGATGACTCTCAGGTATGAGTATGAACCTATTAGTGGTACTCTACTTCATCGTAGCCCATTGCCTTCCCTTGAAGTTGTGATCAAAGATTTGTTTTCTAAAGAAACTCGTCTAAAAACACTTCGAGATGAGCGATCCTTATTATCTACTGATGTTGTTCTTGCTACTTCGGGTACGTCTCCTACTTCTTCAACTAAATCTTCAAAACAGACTTTCTGCAATTACTGCAAGAAGACTGGTCATACTATTTCCGAGTGTCGCCGCTTGCAAGCCAAAAAGACGTATGGACAGAAGTCCTCATCCATGGGTTCTCAGGCTTCAAGTTCCACTACAGCTGCTGCCACAGAGAATTCTTCTGATAACACCTCTCCAAGTTTTTCTCTTAGAGAACTCCAAGCTCTTCTTCACCAGCTCCAACCTGATTCTGGTATGCCTTCTAATCCAGACTTGTCTATCACTCCAGGTACTACCTCATCATGGTATTTTGATTCTGCTTGTTGCAATCATATGACATCCAATACATCACTGTTTACTTCCAAGTCACATCCTTCTATTGCACCAATTGTTCATACTGCCGATAGTTCCACCTTAACTGTCAAAAGCGTAGGCCCTGTTTCAACATCTCGTTTATCACTTCCTAACACTTTTTTGGTACCTCAATTATCTCTAAATCTTATATCTGTTGGACAATTATGTGAACTTGGTTTTGAAATACATTTCTCGAGTCATTGTACTATGTAGGATCCACGGACAGGGAAGATCATTGGGACAGGCCATAAGGTTGGG